TATACAACATTTACCGCCCAGGCACACAAAGCCAGAGTCAGCCGACATAGCAAAAGTGGGATACCGCACGCTGTTGATGGCAAACTTTATATCCATAATTAAAAGCTAACAAAGCGGCGAACATAAAAATAAATGAACTTACCGAGTAGCTTCGCTTTTAGCACATCATCAGCAGCCGTGGTGACATGGTTTGTGTGCGCATCCAAAGTTGCTGTCGAACTGCCCAACGCATCCTCGTACACATCCTCGTCGCTGTTTTCATTGTCGTTATTATTACTCGTGTTGTTATTATTCTTGTTGATGCCATCGCAATGGCCATCATCTTCATCACCATCATCTCTATCATCATCATCATCATCCAACTCATCAACTTTGTTGGCGTGTTTGACATGTGACACGCGCGCAGCTGCTTCCGTTGTGGCTGCGAGAGCGCCATTGCCCATGGTGGTGGTGGTCGTCGTATTGACGATGCTGACAACAGCGCCAAGTGATTGAGCGTTTGTGGCTGTTGTTGGCAGTAATGATGTCGATGATGTTGCCGCTTCCGCTGCCATTGCCGCTGTCGTTGCAACTTTTATTGCTGTGTATGAATGCGTCGACCTGCCGTCGGCATTTTGTGGAGTAAGCAACATTTTCGTTGTACCAAGTGACATAATTTTGTCATCGTCATCGTCGCTGCCACATTGTTGCTGTTGCTGGTTGCTGCTGCAAGTGTTCGTTTTATTATTGCTTGCACTGCTTTCGTTAACATTTATGGGACTTATATCCTCGTAATGCACCGAGTTTGTTGCACTACCACCGCGGGCTGCACGCATTTCAATGGCTGCATCATCAAAATTATAGCCATCATAATCGTTGGCGGAATTTTTGTTGCTATTACTGTTGCTTTTGCTTCTGCTGCTCGCTGCTTGAGCAATTACCTGCGACACAAAATCGGAGTACTGTTGCAATTCCGCCAGCAAGGCCTCCTGTGTAGGCAGAACCAGTGACGAGTGTGTAAATTGTCCGCTGGGATGCGCTGCCTCGCCGCGCGGCGAGTTCGCGTCTGCTATTGCGGTTTTGGATGCCACATTTTCGGCACGTTGCAAACGCTGTTGCTGTTCTCGCTTTCGATTGTAATACTCGTAATTGGATGTGGATTTGAGTGCTTGACGAGCGCCAGCATCAGTCGTCATCGTTTTGCCCATGTCATCCTCATCGGATAAGTACTCCTGCGTATCTGCGGTCTCAAGCGCCTCATCACTGCTAGTCGCATCGCTTTCGAGCGCATGCACTATGCGCTCCTCAACACTAAACTGTACTTTTTTTCGTGCCTGCGGAAGCGGAATGTAAAATTGCGATTTGGCAGTGGATGTGGGTGAATTTGTGGTATTGGTGTGCGTGGCATTTGTGCGACGTGTGTTCGTCGAAGGTGTTTTTGTCTTGGCACTATCACCGTCAGCACTAACCGCAGAAACCTTTTGCTGATCCTGAGCAGCAGCTGTATCCGTGGCACTCTCGGCTGCTTTGTTCCCTGGACGTTTCAGTATAGATTTGATGCGTTGCGTGGTTGTGGTAGTTAAAAGCATAACGCGTTCGCTATCTAATGCCACAGCTGACGATTTTCCCACAGCGCTCTTATCCAGCTGGTGCTCTACTTCGCTTTCAGCACTTTCGCTCGAATCAGACTTTCGTATGCGTGGTGGACGCTTTGGTTGCGACGATGACTGCGTTGACGTTGCAGAATCGATTGGTTTTACCTGCTTACTGCCATCGACGCCGCTCGTTGTCGTACTCTGCGGCGATGCGCCTACCGTAATGCTCTCGTAACTGCGGCTATCCGCGGTTTGTTTGATTAAAGATTTGGTGGCGGACTTGCTGCTACCCAAGCTAATACGCTGTCCGGCTATTGCCTGCACATTACCATAGCTCCGCTTGCTGCGTCGTACTTCCTCGTCATGCGAGCTGCCGGTATCTTCCTCGCTGATATTTACATTGCCTGCTGTGCGCGCATCACGTCGCAACACTGTTGCTTTACTTTCCGTCTTTGCTGCGGTGGTCGCCTTTAGCGTTTGCGCGGCTTGATTACTGTGACGTTTGCTGGTGGCAAAAGGTGGCGCTTCCTCGGTTAGCGCGGCATCAGCCACATTAAAATCATCGTTTGGTGGCATGAATTCATTCTGCGAGCTTGAGGTGTTGCTGGTAGCAGCCATATGGGAAGTAGGGGTAGCGAGTTTACTGCGTGACGTTGATGTGCCCGCTGTAGCAACTCCTCCGTTACTGCTGTTGCTCTGGCTCGAGGATGCTTGGTTGAGTGAGATCAGGTCATAGGGATTTACATTGCAGCGTAGTATGGAGCGTCGTGTCGCATTTGGCTCGCCACCCAATGCGCTTGCCACAGCCCCGCTAGCATTTAGCAGTGTGTCTGCATCTTCCACCAGCCAACAGTCAGGCTCTTCCGTCAGTGCGCCACTTCTGCTGCCAGTAAGCTGTTTTTTGCTCGGCGCGGGCAGTTGTCCACGTTTACGGCTACGTCCACGCACAGGACTTTCACTTTTACCACGTCCGCGTGCCTTATCCTTCTCGCCTCGACTGCTGCTGCCCGCATCGCGCCCACCGCCGCTGCCGCTACCACCACCACTACTTACACCCGGTTCGGGTGAAAGTAGGCGCGTACGTCGCATCAAGTCATATGGATCCTTTTGCGGGTCCAGTATGGTCGGACGTGCCTTCTTCGATGAGCTAACCACACGTACAGTCGCGGCACCGCTGCTACGCAATTTCGACATGGCCAACATGCCACCGGCTGGTAAGCGCATCGTGCCGCCGATGGGCGTCAGTGGCAGGCGTGAACCTTTGCACTTCTTGCAAACGCTCGCCTTTTTCACCTCACGCTTCGTGCCATTCAGATATTCGGGACACGAACAGATGACCACCGCCAGCGGTTGCATGTAATTGGCTGGCGATGATGTGGCTTGTGGCATGAAGTGGTGGTAGGAGGGCCGCGCTGGTATGCCACGTACTGTGCCATAGATCCATGGCTCGGCGTATTTCATGGAACGTGAAAGGGCGCTTGGCGAATACTCATAGCTGCCACCAACGCCACCGCCACCGCCACCCCCGCCCCCGCCATTGCCAATATGATAATCGCTAAGCTGCAGTGTGGGTAAATGCATTGTGGTTGCAATTGTTTGATACGTCTGTATTTGGCTGCGGCCAAAATGATTTGCATTATATGCGAAATCTTGCGTTGGCTTCGTTTTCGTGGACCTTTGCCGCGCTGTTGATGTCGTCGTTGTTGCTTCGGCGTCTGTGGGAGGTGTGCCTAACAATGCCGTTGTTTTGCGGCTGTATTCAGCACAACTACCCGATGATATTGTTGTAGTTACTATTGATGTCGATGTTGTGTTGTTGTTCTCTGTGGTTTTCGTAATCTTGAGCCGTTGACTCCAGGTTTTCTTTGATTTGTCGTACATCGGCGAATACTATACCACAGAAAAAAAGAAGAAAGAAAGAGAGCACAAAAAATAAAAATGAAAGTGTTATTTGGCGGCTTGGTAGATTGCATTGGTAAGGGTGCGGCATAAGCGGCATTTCGATTGGCAGGTAATTGGCTGACTTTAATTTATAGAATATGCGCGTACTTATTTGGTTGTCTGGCTGGCGTACGGTTTTACTAGCTGGTAGTGCCTTTGCGGGCAATTTCGTACGTGTCGAAGGTGTTGCACGTGCAAAATTTGCAACCAAGGTGGCAAGCCACTATGTGTGGCACGTCTAGGGCATTGCAACCGAAGTGAATTGCGCCACAACTATGCTGCGGCCGCCAACTTTGCTGTACATAAATGAAAATCACTAACAGTTCAGCAGCTAGCCAGCTAGTCAGCCAATTGCCCACTTACATATGTGTGTACGTTTGTGTGTATATGGTGAATGTAAGTGTTGCAAATATGTATGTAACTTACCCTGTTGTTTTTGCGCACATAATCTCAATTTGAATAGCTCTTTCAATTTTTCACCGAGTCGTTGCATTGAAGTAAATCACAATCAACTACAGCCAACTGAAAGTAAAACGAAATAAAAAAGGAAAAGGAAAATATAAATGAATGTGTATGAAGTTCGAGAAGTTAACATAAAATGCATTTAAAATTGGAAGCGGATTTTTTTTATTGTCTACGGTGTGAGTATAATTTGCAACAAAGTAGTAGCTGTGCAGTTACGTGTTCATTTAAGGTATACGTATGATAGGGTGGGCCAAAAATACATGCAAAAAGAGTAAAGTCGGAATTTTAATGCTCTCAGCCTCCAGGTATGTTCTAAATTTTATTAGAAAAAAATGATATAAAATTCTTCAAAATTTATATTTTTCAATCGAGAAATCTGTCTCTTTTCAGGAGACTTCAAATAATAATGCACAAAAGTTTACTTAATTATTTTTTCATATTAACTATTTTTTATGAGTTCCTCATTGCATTTTTTAGGGTTTTTGAGGGACCAATAACAAATAGTTAATATGATATTTCTATGAAAAATTGCAGGGACCGAAAATAACAGTTAATTTGATCCCAGAAAAACCTGGACAAGAGTCCTGCATTCTTTTTACTTTATCGATTTTTTTAGGAAAAAGTCCAATAAAAATTGAAAAATCCGGACTTTTATTTTTTAGTCCAGTAATAACAGTTAAACGTGGCCAAATTTTTTTTAAGTCCGAAATAAAACTCCTTTACTAATAATAAAAAAAAAACCCCAATCCATATGAATCAAATTTGGTATTAAATTAAA